CGGGAAGCGGCTTTTCCGCCCGACGACCGGCCGGGCCGTCGTTTCACAGAGATCGTTGATCACAAAGGGTTTGGCTGGGTTGTGTTGAGTGGGCTTCATTTGTTGGTTTGGGATAAACAGGTAATGTGCGGCCGGTCTGCACAAAACCCTTTCCCTGTGCCTGAGCGGTTAATGTTATTCCCTAACTATTTCGGCAGGATGTTAAAATTCCGTAACTATTTCTGCGAGAGACTGGATGCGATAAAGGCTGCTGAAGTAAAATAAAGGCTTATCCCTGTCGGTAGGTCAATTCATTGCTACTATTACTATTGGAGGTGCAGGTGTGTGTCTGCGAAGCGTATGTTTACTGACACGTTAAAATGTTTGCGTTCATCTGGAGTCGAACATGCAGTTTTTGACCTAGTGTGTGTAAATGACAATGTACTTGCAGCGCGCTCAGTTTAGTTGAAGCAAAACCCTGTGCATGAATTTGTTAGCCCAGCAACTAATTGCATGCATTTTACATGAAGTATAACTTGTATTGCTATTCTAGGCATGCTGAGAGGGCTTTTAATTTAATTGCTCTGTAAAATCATCTATGCTATCGCCCTTTTTTTGCTTTATTGAAATAGAACAAAATCAAGCTCCAAAAGAGGTGATCAGTAGAAAGTAATTCAAAGTTCTTATTGGTAACATTTTCTACGATATTTCACATTAATACTATATCAAATGTAATACGGCGATTTGCGCTCTGCAGATTTTGCACGAATATGCTATGCATATTTGATGACACATTGCATATTTTAACAAGGTTTTTAATGACTGATTGAAATGTTTGCTAAGATATTTTTTAAGAGCTGGAGGAGAAATGGTTGTGGAAAATGTGTGTAATAGAATAGTGATAAGGACGGGAGAGTTTTGATTGACAGTATGAGGAAGCAGATGGATGACTAGGTAGGTCAGAGGTAAAGATGCCTTTGACAGCTTTTTAAGTTCCTTTGGCCATTTTGGTCCAATGAATCATGCAAAACATGTGTACATTACCAAACTGATGTCTCTGCATCGTTTACTGTTGGAATCCTTATCTTTTCAAACCCACCCTAACCTTCTTTCATCACCACTTGACGTGCTATGTCTAAACTAGATTGCAAGATCCCAAGAAGGCAAGAATCTGTCTTGTATTACTTGTCAGCAAAAAAAAAAAAAAAAAAAAAAAAAAAGTAAACCTATGGAGCTAGAAGAACAACCACGACAGATTGGCAGAATAGGCGTAAGGTGGGACACATTCTTCTTAATTTTCGCTGTCTGGTCATCGCTCCCCTCCCCTAGGTAGTGCTCAAGGGAGCCATGGTGAACAGTAATGTTTTTTTCCCCCAACTGGCATGAATCTGAATCTTCATAAGTCTAATAAGGGACCTAATTGCATAATTTTCCTTATAACATTATGCAGTGCTGTTGCTATAGTTAAAATGGTTTTCTTTGCAGTCTGCGTTTTCAGGTGCTTTGTATTTCGTCCCCAGATTACTTTATCGACTGGAAATGTTCTAGTTTATCCCTGTAAAGGCTTACTGTTTTTGGAAACCTTATTTAAATTACAGAGGACAATTTTTAAACTGCTGTGATATGAAAAAAGAATGCGTGTGTATTGGGAACAGCAGAATAAAAGACTTCACATGAAAGTGTGTTTTTCAGGTGCTGTGCTGAATGGACAGTTTTCATTGAAAATATTAAAAATTGTCATGAATATGATCTTCCATGGGGAATGTGTAACTTGCTAAGATATGAGGGAAAAGTTAAAGAAAAAAAATGAAACAACAGAGTGACAAATAGATGGAAGGCAGCAGACTTCATATTCAGTACCCTGTTCTTTTCAGCTAAATAGATGTAATATGTTTGCAGTAATCTAGAGAGCCACACAGCTTAATGATAACACTTCATGCATTTATCAGAATGCATATTGATTTGGGAATGCACAAACAAAAGCCCCACTTATTTCACAGCATGATAGTTTGAAAAGTTTCCATTTGTTGAAATATATATACCTATATCTCTTAATTTTTTTGGGCACAGATAATATTTTCCTCCTTATAGAGATAGGATAGTCATTTATTCATAAAATGTAAGACTGCATTTCCTGATTAGACACCACTTTGGCCTTAAAATATATTAAACAATAAAATCTGTGATGTTTTATTCATGGTATCATTTTAATTTCTCGTAGTTGCAATGTTTCTAACAGTAAGTGGCTGATATGAGTACAAATGATCTTGCTGGTTTTGAGTTGACTTTTTTAGGTCAAGTGTAAGCAGATAATATTTTAATTTACATTAATTGAAGGCAGAATGGATGAAAACTTAGGAACATTACTCCTATGTAAAACTATAGTATTACACTGATATTAATGAGCATTTATTTCTTAAGCTTTAAATAAGAAACAGCTGGTAATGGCTTTGAATCTTGTTTTAAGAGACATTTTAGGTAAAATCTTGATAGCTTGTAAATGTGTATTCCTACCTTAGTCTCTGATCGTGCGTACAAGTTCATATGTGTGAACAACGTAAAGTAGGAGGTCAGTCCTACAAAGACTATTCACTTGTCTAAAAATTCACAGACATAAATGTTTTCAGGATCAAGGCCTTTTTTCAATAATTGTGATAGTCATGTACCTTGAAGTGACTGACTGATTTAGAATACACTTAATAATTTGATTTTAATATAGTAGAAACACTGCATTGATGAGTTACCAAAGTGCATCATACAAGCTTCCACTTCAGTCATTTGTAATCCATGTTTTTGGCTTATGTAGTGTGTGTGGTTTTTTTTTTTTTTTTAAATTTTTCAGTGACAGCATTAAAACACAATTTAAACTTCTTTCTGAAAGACGCATCTTAATTTCTGTGGCCCATGCTATAGAAATCATTTTCGTAACTAGGCTTCTTCCTTGAACTATTTTTAGTTCCAGATGGACTGCTTTAAATTTCTTTATCCAAAAAGCAGATAATATTGGTCTGGGACTGAAGAGAAGGACAGAGCAGCACCAGTTTTTTTTTTTTTGTCCTTCTGCCATATTTTGAATTGAGACAAAAATTTAGGTTGCTGAAAGTTGTCCTAGTTTAGATGGAAACACCCACCCACCCAAAATTAAACTGAAATCATAAATGTTAGATAACAAAGTTGGTGATTGATTAACACCCTGGTTACAGGTTATTCACCTTTGTGGACCTGTTTGCTGAAGGAAGGACGTTACTTAGTGGATAGACCACAGCTAGACTGTCAGATCTCCGTCTTCCTTAACCCTTCCATTGGTGATGCTGAGGAAATGGTGGTGGCTCTATGGACTCCGGGGAAAACAAGGACTACTACCTGCACCCCGTCCTGCCTCCTGGCAATCCAAACTCTCAGTAGTTTGCTGAGGGCCTCGTGGCATCATCTCCTGTCTCACCTGTTGCTCTAAGATTGGTGCCAATGTTCTTAGATCTATGGTGCAATGAAACAGAAAAGTAACTGCTCTGTGGGCTAAGTCCCCTTTCAGCAAACCGTTAAAGCATCTCTCCCCACCCCCACCACCCATATTGCCACCGCCTTCTCACTGTACCTCTAAACCACAATGGTTTTGTACATTGGCATTGCCTTAAGCCTGGCAGAAGCTCCCTTCTAGTAGCCCAGTTTATTTGCTTTCCTGATGCTTGGGAGAAGAGAACATTTGACTTGTCTTAGATGCAAAGTATTGAATAATAGGTAAAAGATTTTACCTTCTATTATCAGTTCCTGAATCAAGCTGTTGAAAACATTGTGCTTAATTGATGAGAGGCAGGGACATTTTTCAGAAGTCTCTAAATGATGAAGCAGCCCATGTTTAGAAAAGAGAAAAATCTCACTGAAAAACTACCAGCAAAATTATGGTTCTGAATAATTTCTACAGTTTTGACAATTTTATTCTTGAATACGTTACTGAGCAGTTATTTCAGATAATAATTGAGAGCTCATATTTGTTGCTGAGCTTTAGTCAGAATACTGTGGATTAAATCCTCAACTGGTGTAAAATTGTGTCATTTAATTGGTTCAATAGATCAGTACTGATTTTTATCATCTGATACTTTCCTCTTGTGGTTTAGATGATGCTCAAAGCAGGTGCAGTTTGATAGAATGAAAGGACCAATTTGACTTGCATATTGATTTTTCCTATGTTAATATAATTATAAAAATGTCGGCTCTTGTTTTATTGTACTTACATTTTCATTTCTCTCTGTTTAGATTAAAAGAATAAATGAAGCTTCACTTCTGCTTCTTGTCAAGGCGGATTTTTAAAATACTTCAGTTGTCTTCGTAGTAAGATCAATGGTTTGGTTGGTGTTTGTTATCCAAAAATTTGCCTCTTATTTAGGGGCAATATCTAGACCAACAGTATTCCTTTAGTATTAACGAAAAGTTCAGAAGTTGAGGGGAAGGAATTTAATCATATATTTTCAATTCTTCTTAATTGTGTCTAAAACTTTGTAATGTCCAGTTCCCTTACATACTTTGTGATTTTATTTACAGCGTAGCACTTTTTATTTTGTGTTAAACAGAGTAAAAAAAAATTGATATCAACATTTGCTATTGTATTTTTAATACGCTTCAGCATTTTAGTGAAAGTATTTCCATATATTGTTCAGCTGTAGTTTCTCTCTGACCACTGATACCAATACATGTCATTTAAAAATACAAATTTATTTAAAATAAATTACAAATTCAATACTAATTATTTTATATTATTTAATATTTAAATAGTTTACAAATTAAACACTAATTATTTTTTATAAGTAGCCATGACTAAAGTAATATGAAATGTAACACCAAAAATTGAAAATCATGCATTTGAAAACTAACATAAACATTTACTTTATCAACATGCAGACATAAGATTGCTTCATGGATAATATTTGTCTTCATTAGACATGCGTAGCCTAAAAGGTTAAAAAACTCCAGTAGTCTATTAGCAGTATATACTCATTTTCCAAATACATTCTAACAGGAGGAACAAGACAAATAATTGTCCTATGACAAGATAAAGTTTAGTGAATAAGCCTTTGCAGCATCAGGGCCTAAATCTGATTTACTTTAACAGTGTTAACTGTTGAGGGTTTTGGAGTGTTTTTTTCTGCTGGTAAATAAAATATACCTTTGTCATTACAATCAAATTTCCCATCCATAGAGGGACAAGGGGAGTAACTGTGCTCGATGCACACTATACTAACAGTAATTATATTTCATTTCGATTTTGGTATCTACAGCTGCCTCAGTATAAGGTTCTAAGCAATGTTAAGTGTACTTGTGTGGCTCTGCATACCCAGCCCTTTTTGGGAGGGTTAGCACACTGCCAGTTCAGCTCTCTGAAGTCACTTTGATGGTGACAAGGCTGTTGCAAGAGGAGGGCAGCATGGCTGATGTGCCCGAGAGCAAGACAGCAGGGAGCGAGCAGGACTGTCCCTTTCAGGGGCAGGTAGGTATGAGATAGCCTCATCTATAACACAAAACCTGCCCTCAGAGAGTTGTTCGGGATAATGTACGCGTTGCTGTACTCATGGGCGATGATTCAGGAGAGGTCTGAGTTGCTGCCTATGTACCAGTTGTCTCCAGGCTGTTTCCAAGTTGGTCTCCTTTCTCCAGGTGATCTCCAGTGCTTCCCATGAGCTTCAGCCTCTGTTCTGCTTTCCTCCATCCTTGTTCTTACCATGGACTGATTCACTGGCTCCTCTGTGACTTGGACTATTTGAAGCCTGAGTGCTCACAGGAACCGTTGCTAAATTCCTTTTGTAGAGGATGCTTAAACAAGGGTCTTTCCTTGATTGAGATTAGTAAAGAGGAACAGATTCGTGGAAGGTTGCCTTCTTCTGTATCCAAATTATTTTATCTACTCGTGCATACATTTTCTTGTGATTGTAAAGGGTTTAACTCACATAAATGGCTTAACATGCCACATTTTCATTTTTCTGTAGTGTTCATAAGAATCTACAATGTTAATATTTTTAGCATTCGTAGTTGCATAATCAGGGTATCTGTTTCTGAATTTTCTCTTAACAAGTATGGAACAGGTAAACTCCTAGTTTTATGGATGTTGCATTATAATTTATTTATTTATTTTTTTCTCCACAGCTTTAAGGCCATTTTCCAAGACTACTGGTGAGTAGATATTTTTTACTGGCGAGTAGCTATCTTAAAACAACATGATTAAAATGATATTGTCTTATAAAATGTTTAAACATGTAACCAGTTCTCCTCTATTCTGTCATTACAAGAATAAGTATGCCATGTCTAGCCAGTATAGATTTAATCTATAGAATTAAATATTTAGCTTCTGTAATAGCATTATTTCTGAATCATAGGAGACTATTTGGAGAATCAATATGGATTTTTTTTCTAGGTTATACAAACAAGCTCTTTTGCCTGAGAAATCTTGAGTTTTATGCATCTCAAGCTTGCTTTTCCGTTTTTCATGTGATGCTACTGTAATGCAGCTTTCGTCCATCTTCTATATTTTTCCATATCTTGGTGTCCTTCTATTTTACTTCAGAGTTTTAGGGGCAACACAGTTAGTGCTTTTAGTCTACATCACTAAATTTTTCTTCTTTTTTTTGTTTTTTTTCTGTAAGGATTAGGTGTATGTTGTACGGACAGACCAGCGTTAGTGTGGCTTGCAATATCCTTTGCAAAGCATTCATCTTGTATTACAGTGCCTGCAATGATAGACCACAGCTTGTCTGAGACTGGTAAGATTTTCTTGATCATCTCTACCATCAGACTATGGAGTGTATATGTCAGTTTTACTGAAAGCTTGGATCGGGTATCAGCTGTCATTAAATCAGGTCTGGATTTATATTCTAGCTGTAAATTTCAAAACTATCACCTGAAGAATAGCCTCTGCAATCTAAGAGTTGCATCTTCTATCTTTTTTCATGGCTATTACTTGTGGCTGTGTTTCTTGCGGCTTTGTTTCTTGCAGTTTCTAGTCTTCTGCATAAAAAAAATCAATAATTTTGCATGTATATGCTAAAGCTGGAGGCTATTTTTTGATTGTGCATGCTACAATTAGTTATGTAAATAGCAGCATATGCTGCAAGTTTCCAGTGATCACCCTGTCTTTATAGAAGTGTTGGCTCAGGCTCTGCCTAGAAGTTAGTTGGCAGAGGTGGTTGGTACTCGGTGTCACGAACTCCGAACGCATTGCTTTCTTTAACGATTCCCTCTTGTGATTACTGTTTTTAGTCCATTGTTTATGCTTTCACGCCAAAGCCAATATATGGCTTCCAGTGTGCTAGGGTGGTAGTCTGACTTCTAAGTTTTCCAGGAGAATATTATGTCTGTAACTCTTCATATGTCTTAATCTGTATATAGAGGGATACTGGTAAATGTAGGTGTGTTGTTGTTACTCCTATGTGCATAAGTTGTTTAGTCTTCTCTCCTTTAATCATTTTAGGTTATTTCTTTAAACTTGTATTGCTGTTTGAGTTCTAACCTAGCCCTTCCTAGAGCTTCTGGAAGTATATAGTTAAGTTACGCCATTATTTATTCCCATATTAAAATACTGTTATTGCAGTCTCTTCAATATCATCAAATATTTCTGTGTCTCTTTGCAAAGTAAGATGACTGCAAAGTGTAATCCAAAAGGTAGGTTGGTAAAGCAGCAATTTTCGTATGCTGCTTTAAAAATGCTCACATACAAATCATTATCAGTGGTGTTTTTTTTCCCCTCTTTCCTAGAAGATCTTGCTGGAGCTCTAATGAAGCATCCGGTGTGAAGCAGCCTTTGGCACTTGCAGTTTTTCGGTAGGACTTCTGAATCTTAAGCCACAAGGCTCTGTTGTCTGAGCTGGAGGAACTAGACAGATTTGCTAGACCTTGTTATGTAGTGCCTTTGTTCTAGCTCTCTGTACGGGGAGAGCATCCTTGAAGGTAATTTTGGTTGGGAGTTCTTTATTAGTGAATTCTGGAGGAGTGTGTAAATCCAACACGTATCCTATATGAGTAGATACCACAAGTTAAGATAAATTAACTTACCTCTTAAGTTAAATTTGTGCTATTGCTTTTGAGTCATTATGGATTACTTGTATCTATGTGATAACACCCTATTGCCAAGGGCATGTGACAGTAAAGCAGCAATGTAAATAGCTTAAAGTCTGGCAAGAGATTGAAGTTAGATACTGGAAAAGCCTCCAAAAAGCCTCCAAAAATAATTCAAACAAAACTCAGATAAGAATCCAAGATTCAGCTGTGGATTAATCAAAATATCCAAAGATTTTTTTTCAAGAGTTTTCATACTAATTGATAAAAAACATTTCTAAGGAGCAATTAGTTCAGTTTTCTGGGTACATACACTAAAAATACAATGTACTGAGTGAATATATTTCCTCAGAGATGAGGAAAGACCCTCAATCTGAAACAGCAAAAGAAGGAACTGTTTCAAAAAAGAAACTGGCATAGTCTGAGAGGTAAGAAATGAAATCCTATAGCACAGTATTTTTCATGACCTGAGCTCATAGAAGTAGTTAGGACTGCGAAAAGAAAGAGCAGTCATAGGCAGCACAAGCGAGAGTTTTTCATCAAAATCTTTCATCTGTGTCTTCCTTCAGGATCATTAACAAATTACTGTATGTGTAAAACCTTTTATTTTACTGAAGGACAAGAGTTATTCTTTGAGTTGGAAGATTTTAATTCCTATGTGTTGCTAAATGGTGCAATCATTAGGGTCTTCTTGGATACAGGGTTTTGTTAGCACATGCCTTCTGTTTCACTACATGTAAAGTGCATACTTTACCTTATCGTATTTTTGAATGAGTGTGGTGGCTCATGGAAGAATACATTTCAGTGGCAATGTGACCTGCTAGTCTAACAGCTACCTTTAAGTGAAAGTTAGATCACTATAATTTTTAAAATTACTTTTTTTTAGCACTTTACACTAGCTAAACTAATCTTTTAGAACAAATTTGCCTTAAGCAAGCAAGTATAACTTCTGTGCACAGGCAAATACTCAGAAACCAACTATATTTGTGCTAATCATATTATTGAAAGGTAAATGATGAATGTAGAAGCAAGTAGGTTAATTTGGCCTGATCAATGGATTAAAATGCTGTTTTTTGGAAGTATTTTTTTAAAATTAAACCTATTCTCCAAATGTATTTAAAATGTTAATAAACTATTAAATGAACAAGTAACACTATATCCAACATTTTTACACCATTTCTACAGTGGGTAAAATTGTAGTATAAAGTTGGTGTATACTCGATAACAATTTACATGTTTATTTTACCATCTGGTAAATGTGTAAACGATATTTTGAGAAGCACATTTCAAATTCACTTTAACAACTTATCTCCGACAATATGTATCCTATCTCATGTACTGACTAGAAAGATTTTGAAAACCTTTCAGAAAGAAATACAGTAACAAAACATATTATTTTTTTTAGTAGTGCTTAAGACCAAACTTAGCGTTAAGTGGAGGTCATTCACTGTATGGGAAGGATATTGGTAAGTTAGTGGTGTTAAAGAGATTTCAGACTGTTTTATATACCACAGTATAAAGATATCATATCATCTTCCCTAAAGAAACCATAGGGTGCATAGGTAGTAATAACAAAACAAATACAGTTTGCTGTGTTGTTGTATAACTGTATTGTATCCTTTCCAGGGGGTTTGAATTTGCTATCTCTTGTGTCTAAATATGGGAAGCTCATTATTAGAAGTGTTACAATGAACCCCAAGTGGATTGCTTTTCTCATGTACTTTAACAGCACTTTGACACTGCAGCCTTCTGCCTTTTTATTTTAGTCTTCTGTTTATTGGTCTCCCTGGATTAAATTGCAAGCACTTTCTTAAATACAACAAACTAGAGAATATTCTTTTGTAGCTTGGCTTTTATTCACACTTTCCTAGCTGTTATTAGTCTTAACTGAAAAAAAAGACTTCCCTTTCTCCTCCCCCAGCCCCAGCAAAAATTAAAAAAAACCCTGCCCTGAAAGCAAGTCTGCCTGGAGAACACCTCCACACTAATTACCATCTGGTCAATCTGCAAATGAGGTTTGAGAGCAGATTTCAAATGTAGGCTCCAGCTAATCTGTGCCTTGTATTATTAGTCCGTTATTATTTATTAAAAGACAGATTTGAAAGCATTTAGGCAACTAGAGAAGTAAATAGGTATCTTAGAACTTTTGAAACCCTACCAAACATTTATTTCTTCCTTCCAGTGTCTAAATACTTTTGACCTGGTACCTGGTAAAATAATGGGCTCTGAGGTTGGCAAAGCCCCTTTAGAGTCTGTGGCAGCCAGCTTTGCTTGAGTATATACCTTAAAGATTTCTATTTGGAAGAAGAACAAACAGGCAACAGTCTTAAAACGTATTTTAAAATGTATTGGTGGAAAAAAAAAGTATATAAAACAATATGTAAAAGTTATAATTAGCCTTTGTATCAAAGTTAATGAATTAAATCATTTTTATTT